GTGTGTGTGTGTGTGTGTGTGTGTGTGTGTGTGTGTGTGTGTGTACAGCTATACACACATACACATGCATGCGGACAGGCATATGTGCAGACGTACCGCAATCGTGAACTCGGTTCCTGTTGGATAAGTCTCTGTGCCGTTGGTGTTGGTGGGTTTGATACAACCCACTTCAAACTGTGAATAGCCCCAGGCGGGTAGTAGTTTAGGGCTCATCATTACAGCGCACCTGTGTGTGACATATACATGTATATGGATATGTGTCTGATTAGTAACTTTGTATCTATATTTGTTTAATTTTATAGTATGCGTATGTACATGAATTTATCACTTTAAAGGGATAGATAATAAAGGGTGCGACTAGGGTAGGACTCTCTAGGGTAGTTTGTTTTGGGTTCATCGTCACAGCACACCTGTGTTCTATATGCGTATGTGTATATGTATTCGAATATATACATATATATATATGTATATATTTGGTACGTTCTCAGATATGAACAAGAAATCAGGTGGATACGTATTTGTGCCTCGTCTTGAAATTTGACAGAATATATATATATACCACTGGTAAAAGCGTGGAATACCTTGTTTTGGCGTGAATAAACCGTACGACGTTGTGGAGTTCAAGAGCTTTTCCCTCTCTGACCTCCGACTTGAACCTCTTCATCAGCGGATTTTTGGTCTGAGAACCAAAAATTTGGATTTTTGGTCAGATGGTGGGTGATAGGAATGACGAAGGAGGATACCATAACTCTAAGTACGACAGGAAAAATATACCAGGTGCTTTCGAGGGACATCCATACACGATCACATACAAATAGGTATATGCCAACCCAATATTATGTGCATACAGTGATAAATGGATTGTACAGAACTGAATAGTCTACTGATACGGACACCTTCTGCATGCGCGACGCGTACAGCTTCTGTGAGCAGTACATGAACATGTGGTTGCAGCTATGTGATTGGTATGAAACGGGCGAAGGAAGAACGTCAGCAGCTTACCGGTGTCTGAATATAATGGTTTGCAGAAAATCACACACACACCGGGCATCCATGTGCCGGGGTACAGAGCATACATGACTAATTGTAGGTACGTGATGAGGATATACCTCTACATGCCTGGCGTGGCAACAAAAATATATCTGAATCTTAAATCTACATATAAAACGTGAACAAAAAAGTCACAGTGGACGGCTTTATAGCCGAAACAACGTTGTCATGTGTGCGTACACATACATGTACGTACTTATGCATGGACGTGCCTCATGCATGTTTACATATGTACACACAATCAGAAATAAGAGGGACCTTGTCAGTAGCAAATATAAGCGCAGAAACACAACCCCACCTGTTCTATTTTTAGTCTATCGATCTTCACTTCGAACTCGTCACCCGCACCTGCGTCCATGCTGACTTCAGCGAGCTCCTTCCTAAAATCAACAAAAGAAAACATGTCCGCACATATGTTAGACAGGAAGAGGTCTGAATGAAAGTATTCGTTACACACTGTTATTTGACCACATTCTCTCCCCGATAGCTGAATCCAGACACTCACATGGCATGTACATAGCCAATCCATGTCTGACCATAAACACAGCCACGCCCATACTACTACTCGATACATGCAGGCTTATGCACACTTTGCACGGATATACGTAGATGATTTCTGAAACGTTTTTAACTTACGTCACTGGTGCTGGGAAACCATGCATGTACATAGACTTGCCCGTGGGCACATGGAACAACCGCACTTTGTCGCCATTCTTCACCACCTCCTCTGAGAATTTACCTACGGATCAGTTTTCGTGAAAAAAGAATGAGAGAATACGTGAGGACAGATAAGCACACATATGAGGTAGATATATATTAGTAAATATATATTTGTAGATATATACTCGTAGATATATAATAGTATATATATAATTGTAGATATATATAATAGTACGGGAATATACGTACAATTTAGTCCACGTAAAGGTGAGGAAATATGTAGCGACAGATCGAAACATATATAAGGTACACATATCGGATCAATTCACGGTAAGATGCACAGATACTTAGGGACAGGTCAGAACATATCAGAGGTAGATATGAATGAGTATGGGACTAGTCCGAACATATCAGAGGTAGAAATAAATGAGTATGGGAATAGTCTGAACATATCAGAGGTAGAAATAAATAAGTATGAGAATAGTGAATGCACCTCGTCGATTCATATATAAGACATATGGAACGAGTTTGCATGAGATGCATTAGAGATACGTGCACATACAGAGGATCAGCCGCACTCATATATGACTTGACTCACACACATCTGCACATTTCCATAAAACCATACAAGCCTACACATATACATACATACATAAGGGTATTTCACCCACACACAGTACATATGTGCATGCATACATATACATACCTGTCTTTCACACATACACATCTGCCTATCGACATATACAAATACATGCATGAAATTTACCAACACCTACATATATACATACACATATGCAAGAATATCAACTTCTAAACATACCGTCGGCATCGATTTGTTGGATCTCAAACCAATTGTTGTGATCTTTGTGGGCGTAACCCGTAACCTGCTGCTGCCCACTGCCATCTAATAAGAAGGTCAAGACACATGCGTTACTTATTTGGGTATTGGAATATGGCTGCGATATAGGACAGAAGATCTAGATATGTATATGTATA